TAGTCTATAGTCTAGTCTATAGTCTAGTCTATAGTCTAGTCTATAGTCTAGTCTATAGTCTAGTCTATAGTCTAGTCTATAGTCTAGTCTATAGTCTAGTCTATAGTCTAGTCTATAGTCAGTCTATAGTCTAGTCTATAGTCTAGTCTATAGTCTAGTCTATAGTCTAGTCTATAGTCTAGTCTATAGTCTAGTCTATAGTCTAGTCTATAGTCTAGTCTATAGTCTAGTCTATAGTCTAGTCTATAGTCTAGTCTATAGTCTAGTCTATAGTCTAGTATAGTCTAGTCTATAGTCTAGTCTATAGTCTAGTCTATAGTCTAGTCTATAGTCTAGTCTATAGTCTAGTCTATAGTCTAGTCTATAGTCTAGTCTATAGTCTAGTCTATAGTCTAGTCTATAGTCTAGTCATAGTCTAGTCATAGTCTAGTCTATAGTCTAGTCTATAGTCTAGTCTATAGTCTAGTCTATAGTCTAGTCTATAGTCTAGTCTAATAGTCTAGTCTATAGTCTAGTCTATAGTCTAGTCTATAGTCTATAGTCTATAGTCTCGTCTATAGTCTAGTCTATAGTCTAGTCTATAGTCTAGTCTATAGTCTAGTCTATAGTCTAGTCTATAGTCTAGTCTATAGTTCTAGTCTATAGTCTAGTCTATAGTCTAGTCTATAGTCTACTCTATAGTCTAGTCTATAGTCTAGTCTATAGTCTAGTCTATAGTCTAGTCTATAGTCTAGTCTATAGTCTAGTCTATAGTCTAGTCCTATAGTCTAGTCTATAGTCTAGTCTATAGTCTAGTCTATAGTCTAGTCTAGTCTATAGTCTAGTCTATAGTCTAGTCTATAGTCTAGTCTATAGTCTAGTCTATAGTCTAGTCTATAGTCTAGTCTATAGTCTAGTCTATAGTCTAGTCTATAGTCTAGTCTATAGTCTAGTCTATAGTCTAGTCTGTATAGTCTATAGCTCTAGTCTATAGTCTAGTCTATAGTCTAGTCTATAGTCTAGTCTATAGTCTAGTCTATAGTCTAGTCTATAGTCTAGTCTATAGTCTAGTCTATAGTCTAGTCTATAGTCTAGTCTATAGTCTAGTCTATAGTCTAGTCTATAGTCTAGTCTATAGTCTAGTCTATAGTCTAGTCTATAGTCTAGTCTATAGTCTAGTCTATAGTCTAGTCTATAGTCTAGTCTATAGTCTAGTCTATAGTCTAGTCTATAGTCTAGTCTATAGTCTAGTCTATAGGTCTAGTCTATAGTCTAGTCTATAGTCTAGTCTATAGTCTAGTCTATAGTCTAGTCTATAGTCTAGTCTATAGTCTAGTCTATAGTCTAGTCTATAGTCTAGTCTATAGTCTAGTCTATAGTCTAGTCTATAGTCTAGTCTATAGTCTAGTCTATAGTCTAGTCTATAGTCTAGTCTATAGTCTTCTATAGTCTAGTCTAGTCTCTAGTCTAGTCTATAGTCTAGTCTATAGTCTAGTCTATAGTCTAGTCTATAGTCTAGTCTATAGTCTAGTCTATAGTCTAGTCTATAGTCTAGTCTATAGTCTAGTCTATAGTCTAGTCTATAGTCTAGTCTATAGTCTAGTCTATAGTCTAGTCTATAGTCTAGTCTATAGTCTAGTCTATAGTATAGCTATAGTCTAGTAAGTCTAGTCTATAGTCTAGTCTATAGTCTAGTCTATAGTCTAGTCTATAGTTAGTCTATAGTCGTCTAAGTCTAGTCTATAGTCTAGTCTATAGTCTAGTCTATAGTCTAGTCTATAGTCTAGTCTATAGTTAGTCTATCGTCTAGTCTATAGTCTAGTTCTATAGTCTAGTCTATAGTTAGTCTATAGTCTAGTCTAATAGTCTAGTCCTAGTTAGTCTTAGTCTAGGTCATAAGTCTGTCTATAGTCTAGTCTATAGTCTAGTCTATAGTCTAGTCTATAGTCTAGTCTATAGTCTAGTCTATAGTCTAGTCTATAGTCTAGTCTATAGTCTAGTCTATAGTCTAGTCTATAGTCTAGTCTATAGTCTAGTCTATAGTCTAGTCATCCTAGTCTTAGTCTATAGTCTAGTCTATAGTCTAGTCTATAGTTCGTCTATAGTCTAGTCTATAGTCTATATAGTCTATAGTCTAGTCTATAGTCTAGTCTATAGTCTAGTCTATAGTCTAGTCTATAGTCTAGTCTATAGTCTAGTCTATAGTCTAGTCTATAGTCTAGTCTATAGTCTAGTCTATAGTCTAGTCATAGTCTAGTCTATAGTCTAGTCTATAGTCTAGTCTATAGTCTATAGTCTAGTCTATAGTCTAGTCTATAGTCTAGTCTATAGTCTAGTCTATAGTCTAGTCTATAGTCTATAGTTCGTCTATAGTCTAGTCTATAGTCTAGTCTATAGTCTAGCTATAGTCTACTCTATAGTCTACTCTATAGTCTAGTCTATAGTCTAGTCTATAGTCTAGTCTATAGTCTAGTCTATAGTCTAGTCTATAGTCTAGTCTATAGTCTAGTCTATAGTCTAGTCTATAGTCTAGTCTATAGTCTAGTCTATAGTCTAGTCTATAGTCTAGTCTATAGTCTAGTCTATAGTCTAGTCTATAGTCTAGTCTATAGTCTAGTCTATAGTCTAGCTATAGTCTAGTCTATAGTCTAGTCTATAGTCTAGTCTATAGTCTAGTCTATAGTCTAGTCTATAGTCTAGTCTATAGTCTAGTCTATAGTCTAGTCTATAGTCTAGTCTATAGTCTAGTCTATAGTCTAGTCTATAGTCTAGTCTATAGTCTAGTCTATAGTCTAGTCTATAGTCTAGTCTATAGTCTAGTCTATAGTCTAGTCTATAGTCTAGTCTATAGTCTAGTCTATAGTCTAGTCTATAGTCTAGTCTATAGTCCTAGTCTATAGTCCTAGTCTAGTAGTCTATAGTCTAGTCTATAGTCTAGTCTATAGTTAGTCTATAGTCTAGTCCTATAGTCTAGTCTATAGTCTAGTCTATAGTCTAGTCTATAGTCTACGTCTATGTCTAGTCTATAGTCTAGTCTATAGTCTAGTCTATAGTCTAGTCTATAGTCCTAGTCTATAGTCTAGTCTATAGTCTAGTCTATAGTCTAGTCTATAGTCTAGTCTATAGTCTAGTCTATAGTAGTCTATTAGTCTAGTCTATAGTCTAGTCTCTAGTCTAGTCTATAGTCTAGTCTATAGTCTAGTCTATAGTCTAGTCTATAGTCTAGTCTATAGTCTAGTCTATAGTCTAGTCTATAGTCTAGTCTATAGTCTAGTCTATCTAGTCTATAGTCTAGTCTATAGTCTAGTCTATAGTCTAGTCTATAGTCTAGTCTATAGTCTAGTCTATAGTCTAGTCTTAATCTAGTCTATAGTCTAGTCTATAGTCTAGTCTAGTCTAGTCTATAGTCTAGTCTATAGTCTACTCTATAGTCTAGTCTATAGTCTAGTCTATAGTCTAGTCTATAGTCTAGTCTAGTCTAGTCTATCTAGTCTATAGTCTAGTCTATAGTCTAGTCTATAGTCTAGTCTATAGTCTAGTCTATAGTCTAGTCTATAGTCTAGTCTATAGTCTAGTCTATAGTCTAGTCTATATCTAGTCTATAGTCTAGTCTATAGTCTATAGTCTAGTCTATAGTCTAGTCTATAGTCTAGTCTATAGTCTAGTCTATAGTCTAGTCTATAGTCTAGTCTATAGTCTATAGTCTAGTCTATAGTCTAGTCTATAGTCTAGTCTATAGTCTAGTCCTATAGTCTAGTCTATAGTCTAGTCATAGTCTATCTATAGTCTAGTCTATAGTCTAGTCTATACAGTCTAGTCTATAGTCTAGTCTATAGTCTAGTCTATAGTCTAGTCTATAGTCTAGTCTAGTCTGTAGTCTAGTCTATAGTCTAGTCTATAGTCTAGTCTATAGTCTAGTCTATAGTCTAGTCTATAGTCTAGTCTATAGTCTAGTCTATAGTCTAGTCTATAGTCTAGTCTATAGTCTAGTCTATAGTCTAGTCTATAGTCTATAGTCTATAGTCTAGTCTAGTCTATAGTCTAGTCTATAGTCTAGTCTTCTATACTAGTCTATAGTCTAGTCTATCTAGTATAGTCTAGTCTATAGTCTAGTCTATATCTAGTCTATAGTCTAGTCTATAGTCTAGTCTATAGTCTAATCTATAGTCTAGTCTATAGTCTAGTCTATAGTCTAGTCTATAGTCTAGTCTATAGTCTAGTCTATAGTCTAGTCTATAGTCTAGTCTATAGTCTAGTCTATAGTCTAGTCTATAGTCTAGTATAGTTTGTTCCATATTCTCTAATATGGAACAAAAACATGTATAGCTAAGTTAAAACGCTTTTAATTGAAGAAGAATCTATAGGAGAGAACTTTTTGATACTTTTCGTTTTAAAATAGTACTTTTTGAATTAGCTATATGAATATGCAAATTTTACTTATGTAATGAGTGTCTATGGTACTTCTGGTACTTATTTTTGGTCTCAAATGGTACTTTTTAAATTTTCTATAATATGGAACAGAAACGTATGAAAGTAAACATACGTTTTTGTTCCACATTGAATGAGAATCTATAAGGAAATTTTTGGTACTTTTTTCCTTTTAAAGGATTACTGTAGTGATATAAAGGTACTTTGAATGATCCTTTTAGAATTCATGTCATAAATAAAAACACCAAACAACAATTTTTTTTATATTTTTTTAAATATTTATTTTATACATTTTATTTAATTTTTTTGTCATCATTTTTAAAAACATTGGTTCTCCTTAATAAACTTATTTACAAATTTTATAATAAAAAAATTATATATTTTATAATAACATAAAGAAAAAAATTAATTTATACACAAAAAAAATATACAAACAATTATAAAGACGATGCTAACAGCAATGGTAATACAATAAAATTAGTCACAACAAAAAGCCAAGAAAAATCTATGGGAATTAAAACTTATTAGAAAATAAAAATTAAACAAAATAAAATAAATAGAAAGAGAAAAAAAAAAATAATTTTTTTTTTTATAAAAAAATTATTAAAAATAGAATTTTTTTAACAAAAGAAAATATTATAACCCAAAGACAATTGATTTTACCTTAAATAAACAAAATTTTCACGAAACTATCACATTACAAGTTTAAATTTAAGGTAAAAATATTAATTTAATTGCTGCAATTAAATTATGTTGTTAGTTTAACTAAGAGAATTTATAATAGGAAAATTATTATAAAAACTTAGTTTTTTTGTTGTTGTTGTTTTTGCTAAAGGGCAAGGAAATAATATTTTAAAAATTAGAAATTAAGATTATGCTGTTGTTGTTGTTCTTAATAACTAAATTGGCAGTGTTTGAAATATTTTCTCAAGGGGTTCTTTCCCAAACAATTAACTTTTGCTAGGTGAAGGGACTAATTTTATTTGTTTATTTTGCCGTAAAGCATCAGCATACCTAGTGGCAAAGTTTCTTTTTGAATAAGAATTTTCACAATAGAAAATGTGTAAAGTTAAGGGACGAGTAGAAGGACTAAAGGCAGGGGTGAGGGAGGGGGAAAGTTAGTTTAATTATAACTAGTTTTTGTTGTTGTTGTTATGTTATAAGTTGTTTCCCGGTGGGGCGGCGAAAAACAACCAAAAAGAAATCATTTACATATTTTTGATTTTTTGGGATTTTTAGATGAAATGAAGCCTAGTGTTGGGACAAAAGACTTATTTCTTTTTGTGGTAACCATGACCATCGGAAATAACGGTGGCACCATGACCACTGGAAGAGAAACCATAACCACTGGAAGAGAAACCATGGCCGCTGGAGGAGAAACCATGACCACCACCATAACCGCCGCCATAACCACCACCATAACCACCACCAATGGCAACAGCGCCACCATGTTGTACAACAGAGTGGCCGGCTACTACGGGTACAGCAACAGGCACGGGTACGGGCTTTTCAACAGTAACGGGTACGGGTCTGGTGACAGGTACTGGTACAGGACGATCGACGGGTACCTTAACGGGGTAGGGTACGGGACGATCAACGGCATAGGGTACATGCTTTTCAACGGTGTAGGGTTGAGGTACTGGCACTGGCACCTTAACGGGATAGGGACGATCGACGGGCACGGGATAAGGACGATCTACACGTACGGGTACTTGAACGGGTACCTTTCTTTCAACTACCACGGGGTAGGGTTTCTCTACAGTAACGGGATAAGGTTTGGGTACAGACACGGGCACTGGACGATCAACGGGCACATGTACTGGCACTTGAACATGCTTGACTACTTCGTAGGGTTGAGGTACTGGTACTGGCACTTTAACGGGTACTTGAACATGTTTGATGACTTCGTAGGGTTGGGGTACGGGCACTTTAACGGGCACTTGAACATGCTTGATCACTTCGTAGGGTTGAGGCACGGGCACCTTAACGGGATAGGGACGATCGACGGGCACATGCACGGGTACTTCCACCTTCTTGATAACCTCATAGGGTTGTGGTACATGTACGGGTACTTTAACGTATTCCTTAACGGGTACGGCCACCTTCTTGATCACTTCATAGGGTTGTGGCACTGGCACCTTAACCTGTACAGGGACATGTCTAATGTGTTCCACGGGATAAGGACGATCGACTACATGTGGCACGGGTATACCCTTGGTAATGGTAATAGTCTTGTGGACATCAGCCATTTTGCTAATGAGGAATTCTTGAGGCACGCCATGACCACCACTGACAACATAACCACCACCACCACCACCATGACCACCACCGAGACCTGCAAAACCAGAATGACCATAATAAGCGACTGCTGGTGCTGAATGACCTATAATGGCATTACCGCTATGGCCATAGCCATGACCATGTGAAATGGAACCGTGACCCAAATAACCAACATCCAAACCGGAGTGACCATAACCGTAACCCAATTCGAGGAGACCACGTTTATCGAGTTTCTTCTCCAAAGGAACCTTTTCGGCAGACTTTTTCGCAGTTTCGGCGCAGGCAGAAGCCACCAGGAGTGTGGCGAGACAGATCTGCAAGTAATAACAAAAGTGGGAAGAGAGAACAAAAAAAAAAAAGTTTAGAAAATTTGTTTAAATAGTTCATTGTTTTGTGTTAAATTTGGGGGAGGGGGGGTGAGGTGTTTCTTAAGATTGTTGTTGTTATTGCTGTTTATAAGTTTTTAATTGTTTAAATATAAAACCAATTTATTTTAAGTTTCTTAAGCTATTGTTTTGCTTAATTACTGTCTTTGTTATTTTAAGCACATTTTAAAGTTTGTGGCTTAAGTCTTTTGTTTTTTTCCATTAATCATCTCTTGTACATTAACACCTTTTGTTTCAAAGATTAAACTACATAATGACTTCACATTATTTTATAGAATTTGTTTCAGAAACTAAAACAAACACACCAAAACAGGTGATGATATCGTTCGCTTTAGCAAAAACCTTGTCTTGAAGACCTAAATATGCAAAAATAAGCAAAATTTATGCAAATCTTTTTAAACAAATTTAAGCAGAAATAAAATTTATATGTCTGTTAAAACTCATATTTGAAATGTTAAGATCAAACGACAAACAAGCGGGATAAGCCAGCTTGTCTGCTAGAGCAGAAACATGAATGAAAACTTGACTGAAATTTCAATTTCAAAATAAACCTGCTGCAAAAAAAAGTTTATTCACTTGAAATATGAGCGGCGAAGAAACAGAGAAAGACTTAAAAAAGAAGTTAGAGAATTAATAAATCAAAATATGTGAAATGGAAACATATAAAAACCAGCAGCTACTGGTTGTTAATTAAAACACAATTAAGGCGTTAAGCGTTACAAATCAATCAATTTCAAAAAAATTTCCACTAAAATAGTCAAAATCAAACCGAAAATCAATTGAAAGATTAAAAAATGCTTATTGGTTTAGGTTAAGTGAAACTTAACAAAATGGTTACCGAATACCCGTTTAGAGAAATAAGCAATTAGTCAAAAAAATTCAAAAATCTAAACTAATTTAGAATCCATTACTATGTTTTCCATGATATTTTACTCAAAAATTAACGATCAAAATCTCTATTTGAAATAATAAGATTACCGAATAATCGAGTAACAGTTCATGAAAATTTGAAAGAACCGATTTCTAGTTTGAAAATTAAATCTTAATTAAATGTGAAATAATAAAAAGTTGATTTGAAACCGATTAATTTTTAATCGATTAAGTGGTTACTAACGGGTTTTAAACGATTAATCGGATTATTTTTACATACATAAACTTAAACAGTTTTGTTAAATTTTGAAATGTATTTTGCTTTAAACTGTTAATAATGTTAAGTTTTCTTTTGAAAATTGAGAGCTTTTATTAACGAATAATCGATTAATCGGTTAAAAAAGCACAAAATAATATTAAACAAATTTTTGATTTTCAGAAGAAAACATTATTTTAAATGAAACTAGAAAAGAAGATAAACAACTATGAAAGTAAACCAATTATAACCGGTTCTTAAGCGATTAATCGGGTAACCAGTTAAGAAAAAACTTATTAATTTTTATAAATTTTCGATTTTTTTTATTAAAAATTAAGTTTAAACATAAAATTTAAACTAGAAAAAAAATAAATATGCAAATTAATCGGTTACAACCGGTTCTTCTCCCAATAAAGCCCATATTGAAAAAAATATTCATATTTATTAACTTATTCGATTAGTTTTTATCGTCGAATAATTGAAAATTCGATTAATTGTTTATTTGGTTAATCAAGTAACCGAGTAATCGGTTATTTATATGAATTCTGATTATTTCTAATTATTTGCATCATTTTATTCCAAAACCCTACATTATTTTGTTAAATATGCAACCGGTTTTCCAGTAACCGAATAAACGATTAATCGGTTAATCGATTATTCGTATAATTTTCAAATTATTCTCTTCATTTTCAATTATATTCGAAGAAAATCTTACTTTAAACAAACTTTAATGTAAAATCTATTCTATTTAAGTAATCTAGTAACCGGTTTGTTAGTAACCGAATATTCAATTAATCGGTTATTCGATTATTTTTATAATTTTCTTTATTTTCTCAAATTTTATTGTTAAAATCACATTATTTAGTTAATTTAGTTTATTAGCAGCGAAATTCCTTGTAAACGAATAATCGGTTATTCGATTTTTCGTATAAATTTCAAATTATTTGCTGAATTTTCAATTATATTGAAAGAAAGACTTACTTTAAACAAACTTTAATGTAAAATCTATTCTATATAAATAATCTGGTGAATGGGTTGCTAGCAATCGAATAAACAATTAATCGGTTATTCGATTATTCATATAATTTTCAAATTATTCTCTTGATTTTCAATTATATTCAAAGAAAAACTTACTTTAAACAGACTCTATATATAAGAGCTAATCTATTTAAGTAATCTGGTAACCGGTTTGCTAGTAACCGAATAAACGATTAATCGGATATTCGATTATTTTTATAATTTTCTTTCTATTTTAAAATTTTATTGTAAAAACTACATTATTTAGTTAAATTTAGTTTATTAGCAGAGAAATTTCAAATAACCGAATAATCGGTTATTAGTTTTTTCATAAAATTTTTAAATTTTTCTTTTGATTTTCAGCTATATTGAAATAAGTTACTTTAAAGAGACTTTAATATAAGAGCTAATCTATTTGTGTAATCGGGGAACCGGTTTTTTAGTAACCGAATAAACGATTAATCGGTTATTCGATAATTTTTATAATTTTAGCTCTATTTTTAAGTATTATAGTAACAACTACATTATGTTTAACTAATTTAGTGTATCAGCAGCGAATTTCCAAGTAACCGAATAATCGGTTATTCAATTATTCATATAATTTTCAAATTATTCTCTTAATTTTCAATTAAATTAAAAAAACTTTTATTAAACAAAACTAAAATCAACAGATACTCTATACGATTAATTGTGAAAGCGTTTTGTGAGTAACCGAATAATCGATTAATCGGTTATTCGATTATTTGTAAAGTTTTCTTAATTTTTTCCGGTTAAAAACACATTATATAGTTGATTAAGCTGCTAGCTTGTTAGTAACCGAATAATCGATTAATCAGTTACACGATTATTCGTCAATTTTTTTAATTTTTGGTTTGATTTGCAATTATTTGGTATAATTATACATTAAACAAACTCTATAACAGCTATTCTATTCAGTTAACTGAGTAACCGGTTTGCGAGTAACCGAATAATCGATTAACTGTTATAATTTTACTTTGTTTTCTTTTAAGTTGATTGCTTTCGTTCCTTTTTAGTTCAAATATCAAAACAATTTCTTTGTTTTAACGCTTTGTCGCTGCGTCTTCATTGAGCGTGTGTGTGTGATTGTGCTCTTACTCATACATATTTCAAAGTCTATTTTATCTTACTCATCATAGTTAAACTAACCGGCTTTTTAAACATAATTTTAAAACCATATAAACAAAAAACTGTTTACATTTTTTTAACAATTTTATTTTGTGTTTTTTTTTTGTCTATTACCCACTTGGGGAGGCATTTGTTGACGGAAATATAACATGGTAATATGATATTACAAAAACAAAAGAAATATTAACAATTATTGTTAATTTTTTTTTTTTTTTTTGTTGCTGGATAATTTCTTTATGCATGAGTTGAGCGTGTGCTGTTAAGCATATTGATAGGCCGGCTAATCAATGTTTGGTTTTTTGTTTGTTTAAGCAATTATTTGATAAAGTTAAACAAATTACTTGCATATAAAGAAAATAACAACAACAACAAAAAGCAAAATTGTATTGATAAGTAAAACAAATTAAAATAGTAATTCATTAACTATAACTAATAAGAAACCCAGTGAATTGTTTTGTTTGGAAAGAAAATTGAAAAAAAGTTTGTGTCTTAAGTCTTTTGTTTTTGTTAGCAAGATTTTAGGCAAATTAAGTAAAATATATGAAAACAAAAAAATTATTAACCAATAACAACAGAAAACCCAGTTAGTTGTTTGCTTAAGGGAATAAAAGCAAAAATAGGTATGTGTCTTAAGTCTTTTGTTTGCTAAGACAATTTTGTAAGTTTAAGGGAATTGTACTGAAGTTTTTGTAGTTTTTTATTAAAATAATTTTTTTTTTAATTTTTTATTAATTTATTTTAATTTATTTATCCATATTTTTCTTTTATTATTTAATGTTTTTGTTTTGTCTTTTATTTGTACAATTAAACATTCAAGTCAAGTTTTTAGCTTAAAATGGTTTTGTTATATTATTGAAAATTTCACTTATTGTTGTTGTTTAAAACATTTATAATGTTTGTTGTCTGTTTGCTAAGTTTTAGTTACATTTTGTTGTATTTATTTTATTTAGTTATTGTTGCGTCTTTTTGCTTTAATATATTTTGCAACATATGTATGATATGCAGGCGTTTTTTCAAATTTTTTTTTGGTATTTGTATGCTTTCGCTTAAATTATTACTTAATAGTCAAGTTGTTGTTGTTGTTATAAAGAAGGTGATATTGATTAGATAATTGATTTTTTATGAAAAAGCTACTGTAATAATTACAGGTGTCAATTAATATGGGCAAGTTTGTCAATCATAGGCTCATAGGTATTAGTTATTGCTATACATACTTAATAGTCAAATATTTTTTGAAAAGGAATTTGACACATTTATTATGAAAACTAATAACTTATACAAAGACAAGTTAAATTAATGAATAAACTGTCTTTGAAAGCAAAATCTTAAACTTAAATGTTTGAAAAGTTGTTTAAAAATTAAGTCTTTCAAACTATTCTAGTTTAAGCTAGTTGCGGTTCAAGAGGAGTTTCATACTACAACGTTTAGGTGGACTAGGTGTATAGTCCTTTATTGAGCCTTCATTGTTAAGTGAATAAAGTGTATTTTATGTAAAAATCTTCAAACTCTAAAAGTTTTTAAAGTTCTTTACAATTTAAGTTTTCTTTTTAAGTAAATTAATCTTTAATTTAGTTACTACCAATGTTGTTCCATGGAATTCTTCTTTTTTTAATCATTAAGGTTTAAATTGCCAGAAACTGCAGAGAATTCAAAGAACTTTTCTTTGTTAATAGAAACCTGTTTCTATAATTGTTTCTACTAATTGCTATTTTACTTCAGCAAAGCCAAAAGACTTTAGACTAATTGCTTGTCCAGTGTTCAAATTAATACTTTGAACCAAATAGTTTAATTATACTGCATAAAACTTAAGAACAGATACTCTGGTTTTACACATACTATAATCTGTAACCAATCTACTACTCACATTCATAAAGTTATCAAAAGTTTATTGAACACTTTATAGTTTAAAAAGAAAACACTTTGATTTTACCCATATAATCTTTGAACGCACTCTCTATTATGCATAAAGTTATTAATGATTTATTAAGCTCTTTTCACATAAAAATTCTAGCTATAAACCATCCATAAAGTTATCAATCGTTTATCTATAGCTACCACGGTTTGCAACAATATTATCATGTTCTTAGGAAAGGATGATCGTAGCTTTAGAACGAAGTGGTTAATGTTCGCAATGTTGACAACGAGATCTATTTAAAGGATCTGTTTCAGAAGAGTATTCCTCAAAATCTCTTTATTAAGAGAAGAACTAGTAACGATTTTGAAGTTTATATCACTGTATCAAACGAAAGTTTTAATGACTCTTAGATCTCAACTTGATATTAGGAATAGTTTAATCTCTTCAGTAATATGATCGTAATTGAAATATGATCATTAAGAAACACTTAAGAAATTGTAATATCTAATGGGATAAAGCTATTCAAAACGACTTACTTTCCAACAAGATATCCGTTTTAAAGTTTTAAAAATCCTTAAATTTAAGGAGAGTAGATCGTAATATCTCATTTTAATGATAATTTCGATCATAACTTGAAAGATTGCGAAAGATTAGTGAAGGAATTATGAGATTTTTCTTCATTGTTTTTAAAGGATCATCTTTAGAAGTAGATATTTTATGATGTAGTATATTTTAAGTTTTACGGAATAAAGCTTAAAGAGGTACATTTATATACCCACTAACAAAAAGAGATTGGTTTCCATTTCAAACAAAATCAAAACAAGTTGGTAGAACCACAAAAGTATATTGCTTCTGGTTCCTTATAGAATTCTAAGACAACGAAGCCATGTCCTTCTGTCTGTTTTTCTGTCTGTCTTTCTTTCTGTTTGTCCGTCTTTCTGTCTGTCCATCTGTCTCTCTATCTGTCCCTCTATCTGTCTTTTTATCTGTCTGTCTGTCTCATTGAAATATCTAGCCATAACCATATATTAGTCTGTCTGTCTTTCTTTCTGTTTGTCTGTTGATCTGTCTGTCCATCTCTTTCTCTATCTGTATGTCTGTCTGTTGATCTGATCTGTTTATTCCTTGAAAACATTAAAGGTCCTAAACAAGATGATCTAGAAAGTTAATGTTTTTTAGATGTATGTATTCTCTATTAAAGTTTATCTAGCAGTGTCCGTCCGTCAGTCTGTCTATAGATCTGTTTGTTTGTCTGTATGTCCGTCTGTCTAGATGTTTGTGTTTATATCTGTCTGTCTATCTATATTTCTATTTATCTTAGATATATGTGTGTTCTCTATTAAACTTTATCTAGCGATATCCATTTGTTCGTCCGTCTGTCTGCCTATACGTCTGTTTGTTTGTCTGTCTGTATGTATATTTTTCTATGTATCTGTCTCTCTATCTATAGTTCTATTTATCGTTCTGTCATTTGTTTAAAAAAAAATATTGTTTGTTTTTTTTACACATATAAAGCCAAAGTGTTTCACGTTAAATGCAACAAAATTTTAAACCGCCTGCGTTTCTAAAAGCGTTTCTTTTTTAAAATATTGCAATATAAAGTCAGAGAAAATAGGAATTTTTGAAGATTTACAATGTAAATTTTCTGTTGGGGCAGTTTTTAGAAATTCTCTTTTTTAAGATCATTTTTTAAATTTTTATTGCAAAAGAGTTAGAAGTCAGAATTGTTGTTAAGTTTACGTTTAAGCAAAAAATTTCTTTAAAAATTTTGAAATTAAAGAGTGATTGAGCAGATTAGAATGTTGTTTCAAAATGTCTTAAAAAAAGGCACAAAACATAAGTTTAAAATATGAAAAAATGTTATGTTTTTAAACTTTCTTTTAAAGTTCTAGAATCGAAATGAATGTTTCAAAGAGTCTGTACAACTTTCTTCATTAAAGAAAACTTAGTTAGTTAGTTAGTTTGAAAGCAGGATGTAAGTATATAACATCAAATCCAAAGAGGCTTCCATCGGGCACTGTTGTGTGCTCCTTTACCAATGTCTTTGATGGGAATCGAACCCACAACCATTGGTCTAACAGACTAGAACACTAAACACTAAACCACTGGATATACATTATACAAAACTTAAGACAAGTTCTGAAATTCTGAAAATTTTAAAGTTTTTACACTGTTTTGGTTAATGAAAACTACGGAGTAGATTTTGATTTGTCTAGGAAATACAAATTGAAATATTTGAGAAATTGAAATAAAATTTTAAAAAATTTAAAGAAACTGTTTAAGTTTTTGTTACAATGTTGTAAAAAAAGCAGGATTTTCTAAAATTTTTTAAGAATTAAACATAAATTTAAAACAAAATTTTTCTTTATGTTTTAAGCACTTGACACTTTTTTTATATTTTTAATTAATATAAAAATAATTGTTTATACTTACAAATAATTTCATGATGATTTTATTATTAACAATAAACACACCCACTTTTGGCAAAAAAAAACTCTAGACAGCTTTAGTTCACTACAAAAAAATGGTAATAAAAAAACATAATTTTAAATTAATGATTTTGAAATGAAATAAATTTCATAATTTAATATAGTTGTTGTAATAAAACACTTTATATTGTTTTTATTAGAATTTTCTTTAAATACATTTAATTTTTTTTTTAAATATGAAGTAAAAAAAATTAAGCACCTTTTTTTTTGGAAAATAAACTGAAATGATTTCTTTTTGTTTGATATAAAAAAACACACTACAAATAAAGGATTTGTAGAACCCGCTACGATTCCAAACCTTTAACTGGATGCTGTCTTTGGTCAGTTAGTGGCTTATATACTCCACACATTTATTACGATTAAAACACACAATTTCAATTTGAGTTTGAAATTTGATTTTGTGTTTTTTTCTTTTTGTCAGAGACCTCTGCTTTAAACAAATTTGATGGCTTAAAGAGCGTGTACTCACAAAATTGTGTATTTTTTTTTCCAATTTGAGTTTGTTTTAGTTTATAATATTATAACATTAATAACAAAATTAAAACAAAAACAAAGCTTTGTTGAAATATTTACTTTAGACCAAGAGTGGTTATTAGTGGGTTGTTTACCAAAGGTTTTTGTATGGCTTTTAAACGAAAGTGAGAGTGTTTTGAGGCAAAAGCAAAACATATCTAAACTCTTTAATAAAAGCTTTTAATGGTCATACAAATGAAACTGAGAGTAGAGTAGAAAAAAAGCTTTTTTTTTGAACACTTACTAACACCAACCAAGCTTAAGTTAGTTTGTATTTGTTGAAAACTTAAACAAAATTTAAAATTTTCTTTACTAAGACCAAAGCATTTTGAAAAAATCACCCATACCATAACACTTAACAAACAATTGCTTAAGTATGGGTAACAACTTAACTTAAAATTAAGCCTGCTTAACCCACACACTCTTAGATAACATTAACACTACTACAAAACTATTTTTCAACAGTTTTGTCTTGGTATTAGTAGTTCATTCCTTTTTGAAAATTTTTCATTACAGTTTTTTGCAGTTAAACCACAATTTGTTAAGTGTGTTAGTAGTGTTACCATTAAAATTAACATGATTTTCCTTAAATTAAAGAAAAAAAAGGAAAATCTAAAGTTTTACAAGAAAATTCCTAAACAATATTTGTTTAAAAATCAAAAAAAAAACAACAATTTTTTTAACAATTTTCTTAACTATACAACAGTAGCTAACATACAGTCTCATAATAAAGTGGGTTAACTTAAGTGACGACATAAGTCTGAACATATTTTTAAGTGATTATATCCAACTAAACAATAACAAACTCTTAATAACAAAAAAAAAAAAAAAACACCACTAAAAAAACCAACAACAAAACTTCAAGTGATAAAATTGCCTTATTTTAAATAAATTGTAATAAAATAGTTATACAATTATGGTCAAATAAAAAATTCCAAGAAAAAAATATTTAAAAAAAATCACAAAAAAATTTACAAGGTGTTTTATGGTGTTACAAAGAGAATCTAAATTGTTTCATGCAAAAAAACAAAAAATCTCAAGGGAATTTGTAAATAATTAAATATTTAAGAAGACCAAAAAAACAAACAAACAACAACAATAAACAGCTCTACATTACTATCTCCTCAAACAATGTTTGTTTCTTAAGTCTTTTGTTTTTATAAAGTCATTTGGAGTATTTTGGGGTGTTAAGAACACCAATCATTAAACAACAACAACAAACAGCTGTACATTAATAACTTTTCAAACAAGGTTTGTTTCTTCAGTCTTTTGTTTTTATATGGTTATTTAGTATAAGTTTTAGTTTTGTTTTAGGGGTGTTAAGAAAACAAGTAGTTGTTTGCATTTCAAATTTCTATATTTCAATAGTATTATGGTCATTTAGAGTTTTTTTGGGGTGTTAAGAAGACCAATCATTAAACAACAACAACAACAAACAGCTGTACATTAATATCTTCTCAAACAAGGTTTGTTTCTTAAGTCTTTTGTTTTTATATGGTCATTTAGTATAAGTTTTAGTTTTTTTCATTTTTGGGGTGTTAAGAAAACAAGTAGTTGTTTGCATTTCAAATTTCTATATTTTAATAGTAATCAGTGTTAATTATTAAGTTAAAACTTAAGATCGTTTAAACATATATGGTTTGAGGATTTTTTATGGTATTTAAAAATTGAACTCAATTATCTGTGAATATACAAAGTTGATCAATGTTTGTAACATTCAAAAATATTGTTTCCTTACCCACCTTAAAGTATGGCAATTGTCTCACAATCACTTTCTCTCAAGTTAATTGTGTGTGCCTGCCTAGCACCGTCCTTCCGTCTATCTATATGTCTGTCTGTCCACCTGTCCCTCTGCCTTTAAGTTAAAACTCAACTTGAATTATGAACAAGTATCCACCATCAAATCATATGTGGCAAACTAAAGAGTATTTCGGAAGATTCCCTTATAAATCGCACAGTGGTCTATCTATCTGTCTGTCCACCTGACCGTCTGCCTCTAAGTTAAAACTCAATTGAATTATGAACAAGTATCCATCCATCAAATCATATTTGGCAAACCAAAGAGTATATTGGAAGGTTCCCTGATACATGACACAGTGGTCTATCTATCCATCTGTCTGTCTGTCTGTCCACCAGTCCATCTGCCTTAAAGTTGAAACTCAACTTGAATTATGAGCAAGTATCCATTATAAAATCATATGCACAGTGGTTTAGAAACTTTTATTTTTGGAAATAATTCGGTATCTCTGAGACTATTGGATATATTTCACAAGTTTGGAGTTGAGGTGTTTAGCTCACATATAAAATTTGTTTATGTCGAGTTTTATAATTTTAAGTCAGTAATGAGTAATTGGCATTTTTAAAACAGTTATAACTGTTTAAACTGTATTTAAGAGGGGGGGGGGGGATGTAGGTTCACTTGTGTAGGGGTTAGGTAAAAGTTTCAGTACCCTACAAACTGCATTACTGGAGAATAATGTTGCAAAATTTCTCTAGCTCTTTCCGTTCCGAACTTTATCCTGTTTTCAACAGACAGCTGGACAGACGGACAAGCATGATTAGAACCTCTTAGAATTTAGTTAGCCCCTTTTGGTGCCAACAGAGGCTAACATATTTACTGACAATCAGAGGGCAATTTGGGCGATATCAGTTGGTCGTTTTGAATTGTAAGATGCCGAAATGCTTTACGTTAACATCTGCCGTGTTGGCCTTATTTCTCGGTGGTACTTTTTTAACCACTGAGTAAACTGATTAAAAGACACACATTACCCCGCCTCTTTGTATAACTTACTTGCCTGTGGCAATTTTTGTAAATGTGCCAGTCCATGTACAAGCACTTTGCTCAAGTATTCGAGATCTCTGACCATTGTTGAACCGTTGTTTAACTTCCGAGATGAAAAAATATCACTTACGTTTATAACGCAGATGTTGAGACGGCAACATCAACTAGTGACGTATTAAGTAGTCTGTGGTCTGGTATGAACACATTAAAGCCTGAACATACCTGACCAGGAAAGGAAAATTCAATGGTATAACTTGTTTGAAATAACTTTTATTCATCATCATTCAAGAAAACACACTTCCCATTCATTGGACACCCTTATAGAAACATCCAATATACTCACTCATACATAAGGACGAAGGATGATCCGTACATTCATCCTGTATCATTTAACATGCATTTTTTTCCTACGCTTAGTCCCACACTCACTTCTCTGTGGGGCATCTGTTGATTTCGCCAACAGCACCGAACTTATCCCGAATTATTAACTTTACCATGTATCAGTCTTTTATCCAACATTCTCTTCCCGCGAATTTGGGTTTAAACTACAACCACTACGTGCACCCCATGATACCAGATTAGATCTGGTTCGATCCTATGTCAAATTATTTCAAAGAAAGGCCGAGTATACATCTAATTATCACTAGTTCACCCGGCAGACTAGAGGTACTGGTAGCACCTCTTTTCCCCGGGATTGCAATCACATCAAAGTAACATTCCCCCCGGGGGTGGGGTGGGTATTGGATTGTAAGAAAGCTTTAACCGAATACTCTTACAGAGGTAAACTATACATCATATGGGTATCAGACCAAGTACTCGGCTCGAAGGTAGTGTGTAGAACCACAAAGATCATATGGAGTGACCTTAACGAGAGCAGAACAAGAAACCTACTCAAAATGAGCAAGTCTATGGTCACACATGGTTAACAGCACAACTATACATGATTAGACGTGTGAATTCAGATGAATGTAGAGCATGTAGAACTACGGAACACATTCTTTGTCATTGTTAGGATTTTGTCAAAATTTGATACAAGAATATCTTGGGAGTGATTTATACCGAATATAACATCACTCACGAACATTGATTTGAAAATTCTTAGGAATTACGTCTAGGATACTGAGTTTCTGAGCATTCGAACCTTATATCACTCACGAACACTGATTATAAAATTCTTAAGTATTACGTGGAGGATACTGAGTTTCTGAGCATTAGAACCTTAATGGTGATCAAGGAAGTTAATCATTGGTCAACTATATAAGGTTTTTGTTTTACCAACAAACATTTCCCATGAAATAGAGCGTATAACAAGTAGAGGCCTAGGTGTATTTTTTCGGATTTGATGTTTAAATAAAAATAATATACTTCTCTAAATAAAAGTTGTTCATATCACTGTGACAAAGAACTGATACTGATTAATTTCTGTCATATGAAAAAAAACTCCTTCAAATAATAATAAAATTTCATTATAATCAAGTATGGAACAGAATTATAAAATGTTTGCATATAATTAAAAAAATTTTGATGGACATTTTAAATGTCAATAAAAACTGTCAACTGTATGAATGCACTCACATGTGAGCGATAAAAATTAGAATAAATATCAAATATTTTAAAAGTCCTACTCCATGAATATTGATTAAGTTGATGAAATGATGATAACGAAATTATTTTTTTAAGATTTTTTTTTTCAATTTAAAAATCTTTTAAAACTATAAAATCGATTTTTTTTGCTCAACTGTTATCATCATTAGACAATCATTAGTGGTTTGCTAATAAATCTTAAATTAAATAAAAAATTCAGTTTTTTTATTTCAAAATAAAATTTATTAAATTGTTATTGCCATTTTAAATTAAGATCATATGGTTTGTTAATAATACATTTTTGCCTCAAATGGCAGACAACTCTCTGCTGCGTTAAGATATTTATAACTAACTCCAGAATCACCTATTATTAATTCCATTTACGATCATAATAAATACTCACAAGTATTATTAAGTGATTTTTTTTTGTTTTGCTCTGCCATTTAAACATTTATGATGTCTGTATACCTAAGGCCAGTCCGGCAATATGGACCTCTTTACACATGACATCACAACCAGCTGTTTTTGCTTAAACATAATATTTTAAGCGGAGTTTTCTTAAAGTGTCACAATTGTATGCTATTTTTCCTTAAAGATCATAACACTTGCCTTCATGGGGATTTCAAATAGAAAACAATTGCTCACGTATCACGAAAAAAAACACTGGCCATTCACTCCATTTATTGAAATAGGTGGTTGTGCTTGTCTAGCACTAAATGTAGGCCAAATTTATGTATATTTTTTCTTCGAGAAAAAACAACAACTTAAAATGTAAAAGTGCACGTATATATCACCAAATAGATTTGCTAGTTTTCCGGCAGCTCCTAGATACATAAAATGAAATAAAATTATTGTTTTAAAATGCGCATAAATTTTGTTATAGAAAAAAACCGATTTTAATCTAATTGTTAGATAAAAAAATGAAAAATTTTTTTTAAAAAATGAAAAGGTAATTTTTTGTAAAAATTTTTTGGATGCTGTACAGCAAAAAACATATTTTTTTCTGTTGTAATTTGTTGGAATGTTTTGCCAATTAAAGAAACGTGTGCTTGTAGCTTAAGTCTTTTGTTTTGGTGTTTGACCAAACGTTTGCTTAATTTTAATGAGTTTATGCTTGTTTTTCATTAGATTTATTAGTTGTTTTAAATGTTTACTAGTTTTTTAAAGTAGGATTTTAAATTTAGGGAGAATAGGTTTAAAATGCGACCCAATATCTACATATAATTTCTAGTTCTATTCTAGTTCAGTTCTAATTCAGTTCTGTTCTAGTTCTGTTCTAGTTATGTTTCTAGTTATGTTCTAGTTCTGTTCTAGTTCTGTTCTAGTTCGTTCTAGTTCTGTTCTAGTTCTGTTCTAGTTCTGTTCTAGTTCTGTTCTAGTTCTGTTCTAGTTCTGTTCTAGTTCGTTCTAGTTCTGTTTAGTTCTGTTCTAGTTCTGTTCTAGTTCTATTCTAGTTCTTTCAGTTCTGTTCTAGTTCTGTTCTAGTTCTGTTCTAGTTCTGTTCTAGTTCTGTTCTAGTTCTGTTCTAGTTCTGTTCTAGTTCTGTTCTAGTTCTGTTCTAGTTATGTTCTAGTTCTGTTCTAGTTCTGTTCTAGTTCGGTTCTAGTTCTGTTCTAGTTCTGTTCTAGTTCTGTTCTAGTTCTGTTCTAGTTCTGTTCTAGTTCTGTTCTAGTTCTGTTCTAGTTCTGTTCTAGTTCTGTTCTAGTTCTGTTCTAGTTCTGTTCTAGTTCTGTTCTAGTTCTGTTCTAGTTCTGTTCTAGTTCTTTCTAGTTCTGTTCTAGTTCTGTTCTAGTTCTGTTCTAGTTCTGTTCTAGTTCTGTTCTAGTTCTGTTCTAGTTCTGTTCTTCTGTTCTAGTTCTGTTCTAGTTCTGTTCTAGTCTGTTCT